ATCGGGAATTCAGCAGCATTTTCCCTCAAATGCCTGCGTTTGATTGTTATGTATTGTTATATGAATGGGCTGATGTAGAGATGAAGCGAAATACTTTTGAGTGGAACCAAATATGTCACTTGAGCCTAGAGTATATAAATTTTGATGGATGGAGTAACCGAAAAAACAGCGGAATGGATAACGAGATGTGGACATGGTCAGAGTGGAATAGAAAGCGGCATGGATGCGTTGGCAGATGGATATGTACACTTGCGAGCTGATGTATCATCAAACTAAAGGAAAGATCATACGCAGTAAGCTGAATTATGAGCAGATTCATAAACTGATGCAACTTATAAAATGATTGATGATGACTGACCAAGCATTTGGCGCACCCACAAAAGCTATGGCACCCACAGATGCGTAGACATTCTTGCCAGATTGAATCAAAACGAACCCGGGACATGTTGGAAAGCTCCGATTGTTTGCCCATTTGCTTGGTGAGCTTCATTTCATTCATTAGTATACACATCATTTATATGCATGTGAAATAAAACAGATGCCTAATTTCGACTGATTCTAATCGAGTCTGTCCAGCATGAGGGGGAGGCAATCGTTCAAAGTTATTTCTCCAGTGTCATTTGTACAAACTCCTTTGTCATACTGCTCATTCGATGCACGGCGGCCTACATTTGCTAAATTCAATCACCCAAGCATATTCCCTTTGTCATACATTCGATGCACGGCGGCCTACATTTGCTAAATTCAATCACCCAAGCATATTCCCTTCTCAAATTCGGAAACGAGAATTCAATTCAACAGCTGATTGATTCGTCTCAGTGTGACCCACGAACTGCTCACTCTGCTTGGGTGATCATAAACCGCGGTTTCATTCAACTTCACTAATCCGTGTATCAATGGGACCAAAGATTAGAGGAACAACACTGATGGGGTGTCAGCATAGCAATTTGAATGTACGTGTGATGAATGTATGAATGAATGTGTTCCCTGTTCCTTACACATTCCTTCGTCCACCAATTGTATATTGTTGTTTTCAGCTATGATGTTCACTCACCGAGGGGGGGATCACGAAGGAGTATTTTAAGTGTCGGCCGTTACATCGATGCCAACTAGGTAGCCCTGTCCATAACGGGCAAGAATTTGCCAAGCACAAAGTGCAGACGATAACTGGATGCTTGATCGTCATTGGCTGAAAGACCCCTTTGGGCATGTTTGCCAATAATCAAATTGCTCAATCCGAAAACTTCAAAATTAAGACGGAAATACTCAGCGCTTTTGTAAACTGGTGGAAGTTTTCGTGATCCTACACGCTTTTGGGAGTTTACGTAACATTCAATGTTGTGTTCCCGTCGAGAATGCGCAAAGTTCATGGCGCCAAACGCCTTCCTGGAATTTGGGTTTCAAATGACAAGTCTACATTTCGACCACCGCTGTCCTGGCTTGGACAAATCCCTGGAACCTCAGTCTCCGTTTTTCCGCTCGTTGTCGTAGAATCTGGGATAAGAAAGATCATTAAAATTGTTCAATCATTCAGTTATGCGATTTATAAATACAGTAATCTCCGAAAGCAAAACCACTTTCTAGCGTTTCGATTGAGCGTTTGTGCTAGACGTGACCAACTGACGTCTGGCTCGAAAGTGAAGGGATTCTGCTCAGTAACCCTGGTGCGAAAATCAAACCACCATTCCGCCAAAAGATGGATTTTCCTGTGGAAATGCATCACTGGCCAGAATCATACTCTCTGTACTACCTGACCATTGAAAAAACACGTTGAGACCCGTCTCGAGTAAGCCTTGCTATGAAAGCCACGGTTGTGAATGCTAACACAAAAAACCAACTTGCTTCCGGTGAACTAATATTAGTTGAGAGTAGTAAACTCACGAAGCACAGGAAACTTCACTTTTGGTGTTCTTAAACTGACCGCAAACTTGAGATGACGACGTTAATGTCCTGGTAAATCAGGCTAACAATTGACACTGCGGGGGCTGGAATTCTGATTGCTGACCTGTGTTGCCAAACCAAACGTTCAAAGAGGCACCGCCACGAACGCATGCCAGTAGAAGAAGGAGTGCGTAAATGAACTTCAACAGTCACTGGTTGTCACCTGAAGAATTTACTATTCTGCTTAACCATCTAAATTTTCGTAGCTACACAAATTGCAAACTTATATCAACAAAGAACCACCGCAAGAGAGTAAAGGAAAACCTTCAGCGTAGAGAACACCAAACTTATCGGAAAGCTTCGTAGTATTAAACGACCAAAATAATCTACCTATTTTCCAACAGACAAAACCAAATACAGCAAGGCTGTTAAGAGCATTCTAACGGGAAGTCGCGTGTAGTACTCGCGGGATAATCAAAGGAAGCGTCAATAAATACAATGAAGTGGAAGGAAATAGACGGCTTATGTGGATGTTTGACGGAGTTGGGGGTCAAGATAAAAGTCGATAAATCTCAAAGGCATTGAAGGAACACCGTAATTCAATTAGAGTTTGCGGGACCAGTCACCCTCGAAACACTGCATGCATCACAGTTAGACTTACGCCTTCTGCTCCACAGTGGATAAAACGTCCGCTTCTAAGATAAGACTAGCTTTGAAAAATTTACCACGAGCATTTATGGACAGACGTCCAACTCGTGTGAACGGATACTTCGTATAATGATAGTGATGTTTGATTGATACAGAGTCCATGAGAAACGAAATCGATGGACGTATGTTCACCTACTGATGAAGTTAGTAAAATTATGGACTTGCACGCAAAACGGAGCGGCTTGCTAATCGAGATAAAGATAATTTAAAAACGGTTCAGTATTTTATCTCATTTGGATACATGCTTACGCATCAGCAAAAACTTCTCACCCGTGATAATACCGCGCATCCACATATTCACAAACATTCAGTACTGAACCCTTCGATAACACCTAAGTCGCTTTGACGTTTCCTTATAGTGTCAACAGTCTTGATTGTGTTGATCTTGCTCTGTCGATGAGACTTTCCACCCGTAGCAATGCACATTACCTTGATTTTCCAAACTTCAACTCAAAGTCCGTACGTATCTATTCCCAATAACTGTGTACAAAATTCATCTGCGTGAACATATGTGCGAATGCAGTCGTATTCCCCCGATGCACATTATTGAATTTTCACTCATATAGCGCATCCAAAATGTGCAACCCACAAGGCACGACATCATTTTACGTTGTCTTACTGACACAACGAAAATTGACACGGGCAATCTGCATAGTCACAGGAAATTCTGGTGTCTCCGAATTTCGCTTAGCCATCATGCATATCAAGGGAAGCTTTGTAAGTACAGGCGATGTGAAAATTTGGAAGAAATACAAAGGATGAACCATACACGAAGATCTGGTGTAATCGAAAAATTCATGCATCTGACCATTGCAACTGACCCTTTGTGCCTAGTGTGAATCGCCCAGCACGTGCAGGTTAATTAGATAGACGTCCATAGTAAAATTACTTGCACGCAAAACGGAGCGGCTTGCTAATCGAGATAAAGATAATTTAAAAACGGTTCAGTATTTTATCTCATTTGGATACATGCTTACGCATCAGCAAAAACTTCTCACCCGTGATAATACCGCGCATCCACATATTCACAAACATTCAGTACTGAACCCTTCGATAACACCTAAGTCGCTTTGACGTTTCCTTATAGTGTCAACAGTCTTGATTGTGTTGATCTTGCTCTGTCGATGAGACTTTCCACTCGTAGCAATGCATATTGCCTTGATTTTCCAAACTTCAACTCAAAGTCCGTACGTATCTATTCCCAATAACTGTGTACAAAATTCATCTGCGTGAACATATGTGCGAATGCAGTCGTATTCCTTCGATGCACATTATTGAATTTTCACTCACATAGCTCATCCAAAATGTGCAACCCACAAGGCACGACATCATTTTACGTTGTCTTACTAACACAACGAAAATTGACACGGGTACTCTGCATAGCCACAGGAAATTCTGGTGTCTCCGAATTTTATTTGTCCATCATGTATATCACTGGAAGCTTTGTAAGTACAGGCGATGTGAAAATTTGGAAGAAATACAAAGGATGAACCATACACGAAGATCTG